ATGAGATCGAATCGAACATAATTTAGTTTAATTCAAAATTCTTATATTGAAATATATCATATTAAAATTTTATACCAATTAAAAGAGTAATTTTAATATTAATGATTTACTTTCATTAATCATTTTATACCCACGTTAAATTAACACTATATGGGAACAATACATATTGAAGGTAATTAAAAGATACAATTTCAAAATTAAGAAACTTGTTTTAAATTTCAATAATCATGTCATAATTCAAATTTCAATAATTAAGTAAATAACTAAATTTTTTTTATTAATTAAATATATTAAGGTAACAATGTAATACAATTTATGGTCACAATTACGTATTAATCACAATCACAAATCGTCATACTCGCAAATCACAAATTTCATAGATCACAATTTATTTATCTATTACAAATTATCAAACTAATTGGTCAAACATTACCTCTCGATCACAAATCACCAATTTTATAGTTCATGGCTTATTTATTGATGACAAATTATCAAATTAATAGGCAACACATTATTTATCGACACAAATCACAAATTTAATAAGTCTCGACTTATTTCAAGGTCACAAAATATCAAATTAATTGATAATAAATTTATTTTTTTATTACAAATTATCAAATTAAGTAGTCACAATTTAAGAAACTATGAGTAACAATTACAAATTTAATCACAATCCTACATTTTNNNAAATTTAATCACAATCCTACATTTTCCTAGGTTATATATTATTTTTTTGGTTACAAATTATCCATTTTATCTATCACATATTTTTATTAATCACAAATTAATCATTTTATTGATCACAATCGTCTAAATAATTGATCACAAATGCACCCGCCGCAGTCCACCCCCTCCATCACCACCTGCACAAATCGAATGCCGCACCACTTCACCATCATCAAGACCACGTCACAAAAGATTATACTTACGTGTATATGTTCAGCATACAAAATTAAATAGAATCGAATCAATTATAAAAACAAAATTTATTTACTTTTTCTTCTTTAATACAATTCAAAACTATACAGCCCACCTCATGAAATGGGCACTGAATCTTTGAATAATACAAAGAATACTTGTCCAATCTATAACTAATACGCAAAAGGGGGAGAAAATTCAATAAACCAGGATTTTTACACGAAATGCAAATGAAAAGTAATTAAAAAATAATTTGTAATGGAGAGTCAGTAATTAAAAAGCAGCTTTTAAGCATGATCGAACATCATCTTTTAGCCTCTTCCTCTTAATCTTAATTACAAGAACCTCGCAGAGCTTGTTTAAATGGCTCCATTAACTTCTCCAGCTGCTTTGAGAATTATTGAAGAAATCAGAACTATATTCTTGACTTCCAAATGCCATCCTCTGAAACATTCTGATCTGAGCAGATTGTTCCCTTGAACTAAAAATTCCACTTTGGCCGGGTATTATTCCGTTGTTCAAATCTGTTAACTCCTCCATAGTCTCTAAAGCTCTGACTACCTGGTGATTAAGATAGAGCAGAAGGAAAAACGATCAATTAATGAGCAGTGTAAAACGGTCAGTGATGAATTCAAAGTCCATTTGAATGGTTTATCTTAGTCACCATTCCAAAACTGAACTTTCATCAGTCCACCTCCAGCTTTTGAAACTAACGTAATTATTGACTTCTATGACGGAAATATATTGGTTTTGTTGTCCAAATTGCCAAAAATGCTTATTTTTTTGTAAAAATTGTGTAGATGCACTAATAGTGATGCCAAAATTTATGCATTAATGGGCTTTTCAAGCCACCTCATTTCTATCATAAAAGTCAACAGTTCTGTTACTTTTGGAAGACAATGGTAGACAGGAGTACCTAAATTGAAATCAAATATAACCCGACATTTACTAAAAACTACCTGACTCATCCGTGGCCGTTTTGAAGCTAAATGACGCACACAAGCAGCTGCGGCTTCAATCATGCAGAACATTTCACTGGCAACAAAGTTCTTTTCCAGCCTAGGATCTACTATCTCTTCAAAACTTTCGGTCTCAATTGCTTGGGTGAGCAATGGTCGAGCCTACAGGATAGGTGGTATCAAATTGAACTGTTCTCCAAGAATATACAAGAAATATAACTAATTGCAATGATCACGATCAAAATACAAGAGAGGGCTTTTATATGGCTCCAAGCTTTCATTTTATGATCTAAATGCAACTAATAATTTCAAAAAATAAAAATAAAATTATATTGATAATTCTACTAATTGTGCTTTCAGCACAAATTTATCGCCAATCACTTTGTCTCCATACGAGTCAACCAACTTTGCTACATCATTTTCTTCCATTTTTTCTTAGAAAACTCAAGAAGTTGGATAGAAATGTTAATCAAATAACAAAAAGACAAAAAAAGACAGAATGGTTAATAGTTAAAAGAGATTTGGTGGATGCTATTTGCTTCCAACTGAATCGTCCAAATGTTGCATGGAAGATTTATGGTCACATATGCAAAGAAAACTTATCAATAACACTTATATGCATTAACATTATGATGTCTATCCAGAGGAGGAGCCAACACCCGGCCGCACCCGTGCTGGCTTCGTTGGAATTTACAGATTGGATTTGGAGGAAGGCTTTGTTGCAGTCGCCATCGTTGCAGAATATGGGAAGCTTAAAGAGAGGGAGGAAGACAAGTGTTAGACTTGGGCAAATTTTTTTTTTTAATTAATTAGGCCCCCATTAATATTATCCATAGGCTTGTATTGTGATTAGCCATAGTCCATTGGCCTCCTAAACGATTAACTGATTAAGCATACACAGACATGAGACAAATCAAACCCTATCTCTCTAGTCCCTCCCACTGCGCAGCCCGACGCCAAGTAAGTTGTGAGTTGTGACCTGTTGCAGGCTGCCGCCAAGTCGCCGACACTGACCTCCGCCCTCCACCACTGCCTGCCGCCACTGTGTGAGCCTCTTTTTTTTTTTAATTTCATTTTTTATGCCATTTTCATTAGGAAATGATTTATGATTCATGTTTTTTTACTGTAAGCCCACTGCTGAGGTTTATGATTTATGAAAATTGGGAATTTATCAATTTGTGAATATGTGATATGTATCTAGTATGGAAGTGCTTGCTAATATTTTTGAAAATTTGGAGTTGCTAGTATTTACTTCACATGACCTTTTCTTCGAATTTACATTTTTATAAATTGGAGGTGCTAGTATACCAATTTCAGTTGGTTTTTGAAATTTGTATTCTATTTCATGAATTGTGAAAGCTGTGTTATTTAGAAATGATGCGCTAAAACCAATTCAAATGTCTACAAGAACATGTCCTAAAATTCTGGATGACTCGGATATTATTAGCTCGATAAGATGGGAAAATGAGGTGCAAAGTTAAGTTGGCAGTGGCTTAATTACATATTATGGAACGGTTGAAACAAGCACTTTGTGGAATTCTTTCTCTATGAAGAATTTTTTAATATTATTTAATTAAATATTAATAATTGATCTATTGACGATAAATGGTCAAAGGCCGTCCTAGCTCACCAACGTTCTTGGATCCACCACTGTGTCCATCGTTATCATATTTTCAGTTTTTACCTTTCCACTATGCTGCACATTGCAATATCAATTTTCCCTATGCTATGGAGGAATTAGTTCACTGAGTTTAAAAGAGCTCTGGTAACTCATCTTTCCGGGGTTGATAAAAGTGATCGAGAAACTAATTCGGTGAATTTGGTTATGGAGGCTACTCAAGCGAGTAGAGTTAAATGAAGGTACCCAGCCACTTGATACTGTAGTTATGAGCCAAGGAACATGAAGGGGGAGTGAAAATGCAGTACAACATCATAGTCATGAGGATGTGAGCAACATGGAGTTTTACGATTTTGCATGAATGACTAAGATCACGATCCTCAGTCAATATGGCTAAGGGGACCTTTCCAGGTAGGGCAGGTGGCTGTATCCTTACTACTAGGGAGTTATGCCTTACAGAGGGATTCATGTGACACGGTGACACCCTGGAGGTTTTCAACCTACACGGGCATACTCAATCCAATGTAAGACATTAACAACAGTTATGAGGAGCAAATAAAATACCTAACTCGACGTATGAAAACTGCGTAGCACGACAAGGGCACGAGTTAAGATTTGGGCCACTATCTTTAAATTATGGACTGGTTATGCTTTGTACTTTCACTGGCCGAAGATCTGGTCAAGGGCGGATCCAGCACCCGGCGAACCGGAGCGGCCGCCCGTGCTGGATCCGTCGGGGGAAAAATATTAATGAAGATTCATGTTATATATATATATTGTAGAAACATTTAGCAAAACCGTGTGCAGATCGGGTGGTCACGTGTTGGCTCTTGCGTTCAAGATGCTCAGGTTCGATTCCCTTTCATGGCACTCCTCCTTTTAATTTTTAAACACAGTAAATAATAATTAACTTTTAATATATAATTGTACTAACTTCAACAACAATATGGAGGGTAGCTCATATGACACTGGGGTTACTTTGTATCCAAAAGGTATGGGGTTCAATTCCATGTCAATCCACCTTTTTGTTTAATTTTTTTTCATACAATAAATATTAAATAAA